CCAGAAAATGCTAAAAAGTTGACTGGAACTGGGTTGTTAAGAGGTACTTTACTCTTGTGGTGCGGTGCCAGCGCTCAGATTTAAAAAATTGTTTAAACATATTTAAATGCCAGAACTCTGAACGAAATCTATATAAATCACCGGAACTATTGTAGAACTATCGGAAAATGCTAGCAAAAAGTTGGTTGGAACTGACTATTAAGAGGTACTTTACTCTTGACGTGCAGTGCCAACGCGCGGGTTTAATTATTATTTAAAATTACTTAGAGACCGGAATTATCGTTAAAATCTATCAGAAATTGTAGAACTCATCGAGAACTATAAGATTAAATGATTTCCAATTGATTTTTTCGAATCTTGCGGTGCCACGGTAAGTTAGCACCTCAAATTTTCATGTATATTATTGTTTATTGTTTTGTATATTTATGTTATTGTTTTTAGCTAAATCAATGGAACTATTTATAAAACCTATCAGGAACTATAGAACTATTGCGGTTACTAATGGAACTTGTATCAAAACTTGCGATGCCAAAAAATGAGGTGTCAACTTCACACACGTTATTGGAATTAATTTAAGCTTTTCTATTCCTGAGATATTTTATGCTAGAACTATGCCATAAATGGCCATCTGTGATTATAATAAAAAAAAAACATACTAATTTCTGAATAAAATAAATAATAATTAATTCTTTTTTAGAAAATTAAAATATAAATAAAATTTAATACGAGTTTACAACCTACAGATGTTCTTGTGACAGCAATTATATTCCTTATATTCTTCCAATTGAATTTCTTATGTACATTTCCAATTGAAATTAATTTTAATCTCTATGCAGATCCTCTGTCAATGATCAGAAATGAATTCAGTTCAGTTATTATTGTTAATTTCTATATAATTTCTATATAATGGAAACTTAAATTGACATTTTATATTTTATTCATTCTTCATTTTCATCTTTTGCTTTTAATCGCTCTTTTTAAAACACAGAGAATTTCTTTGAAGAAGAGTCAGCATTCTATCAATTACATCAGAATTCTAAGAATTGTCAACTTCACAAGGATAGTAAATTTCTATTTAATTATCATTATAATAAATTTTTGCGTAGAAATTTTCATATCGCGGGCCAAAAATATTAGCGTCTTCTCGAGAAAGAGTCTAATAAAAATAAAGAGAGAGAAATCCTTTCGCGTGTCATTAGACGCGTAACCGGTGATTCGTGGCAAATGCGATTTCTAGAACGAGTCGTGCAGATGCACATGATCTCGTTATATAAAATCAAGTGTGCTATCGGATCGACGAGCGTGTCACGGGGATTAATCCGATCGTTTCATCACAAATTGCCCTCTTCATTGAACTGCCTAAGAACAGCTTTAGAATACTACATTTTCTACCTGAGAGGAAGAGACATTCTTTATTCACGACAGTTCTCTAGGATTACATATATCGCGCGTGCATATAAAAAGAGTATAGGAGATTATCAAATGTAGATATATTCAGCTACGGTTAGCAATCTGAAACGCAGCCGCCAACTGACCAACCGGAGCTTTGACCTATTTCTTCTTTAAGTTACATTACTTAGCAGATAAATTTTTTGTATCCGTCCGACCGTCCTCGTTGTCTTCCGTTGTGACCTAGCAACCCTTCCTTCCGACATCCTGACCTATGACCTACATTCAACATGTCCTCATTCGGTCCGGTTTCTCCTATTCTTCACCGTAAAAGGAGATAGCTATCAGCTGTTTTCGATGAAAAGTACAGATTTACCATTTCTTCTTTAGAAATCGATTTTGTCTTACAACGCGTCATCCCTTGAAAATTCAATGAAAACATTCACTTTGTATAGGAATCCTGCTTACTTAGTTTACACAACAAGATCTATATGTAATTTTTTTAATAGAAATTTTGTGGTGTCTGTCATTTTGAATAGCAATTTTTGCCGTTCTGTATGTAAGTTATGTAAACAGCTGACTCGATCTTTAGACTCTTGCAAACATATTTTGCTATTGCCAAAAAATTAGCGTTGCCGCATTCCTCGATTTGATTGCAGTAAAGTACGGTCTGTTTTTCTAGATTGCAGCCCGATGCGTAATGTAAGACAATATAGTCAGCCCGTAACTCGGTCAACTAAAACCAGAGTTTTTTTTTTAATTAAATTCCTGTCTCGTGGTAACGATTATATCCGGTAAAAAGGGACTAATAATCACGCGACATGTCTCTGCTTCTCTTGCAGGTATGATTACTCTGGTCGACGGCGCTCCGGCTTTCGTGGACCCTCTCAAGGAATGGAAGATAATAGTGACGCATTACGGAGGATTGGCCGGTCTCGCTCTGATCGGACTTATCCTAGCAGCTATTCTCCCCTGCGCTGGTCTCTTTTTCTGCTGTTGCAGATGCGCAGGACATTGCGGTGCCCGAAGTCAACCCTTCGATAAAAAGCACGATCACTGCAGGAAGATTATGCTCAGCATCGTGTTAATAGTTGTCGCCACTATTATTCTGTAAGTTACGTTTTTTATAAATGCCACAGTGGTATATATACTTCTCAATATGTTTTAAAAAACTAGATTTCTGGTAAATATTGGTTATTAAGATCAAACAGAACGATTTAAAAGGCTTATTTGCTTACCAAAGAAATATTGCAGTAAATGCCGTTATGAAATATAAAAATTATTTATATATAATAGAATAGTGAGAAAATTCTCGAATTGATTAATGCGTTACCTTTCAATGCATGAAGATTACTTAAATAAGGCTTGTGTAATTTAATTTTTTTATGACATTTATACCATGTATAGGATGTAAATAAAGCTTTCGAGTCTTTTCCCAGCAAGTACAAATATAACTCCTATATAACGTGTGAGATAGTTTCGTTTAAATTATGCCCCTCCACTAATCCACGGCGGTGTGGCTCGAGATGCGCAGTAGAATTGTTTTAAGCCGACCGCACACAATGCATAATTTCTTGCATGAGTTTACATGCTGCTGTGCCTGCTCTAATGCATGCTAAACTTCTCCATGCATTGAACGAGGCATGCTACCATCTTTGATTTCTATGTTTAATATGATACATTATTTCCAGGGTTGTATACGTTACGTAAAAAAGTAAAGAAGTAACGAATGAGTAACGTAATTACTTTTCCTAATGAGTAATAGTAACGATAACTAAGTCACAATGTTCAGTAACAAGTAACGAAATTTTATGTTACTTTTTTCATTATTCCGTTGATTATATATGCCCATATTCATAGTCAGGCCTTATATTTAAGTTCCTTTAAATTTATCTTCAGATGCTCTACGAATTATTTTATTGGCTAATGAGCATCCAAAGATAAACTAAGGAAGCCTTAAATATAAGGTCTGACTACGAATACTGACAATAGAGTTACTTTAATAAGACTAAAAGATAGCACGCTATTTAAATTCGGAAGATACCGATGTCAGCATGTTAAATGAGTACCTATCCTCCTTCGAAAAAATTGTTTCAATCAAATGTAATACCGGTTTGGAGATATCATTGAGTTGATTAGGCCGGAAAAATAAAAGATGGATCGTGATTGATTCGAACTATAATCGACCGTGGGGTTTCGTCCTGGTCCTCACTACTGGACTCATCAGTAAGGCGATGTAGTGGGATCTGCCTTAAACGCCCGAGAGAGTATTAGATCGAAAGAGTATTAGATCTTTTTTAAAGGAAATTCGTGTAACTGTGGTGCTTACGAGAACCCGCGCGAGACCCGTTAGACCTCTGGTGGCGAGTCGCCACACCGGTCTACCAAGTAGTGAATCGGTAGAAAGATTTTTAATACTGATGGACTCGTTTTGATGAATCTTCGAGAGTCTCTCTAACAGACGGACATTTTGAAAAACAATTATTATTAAAGAAAAATTCAAGGTTCAGCGATATAAATTAATTATAATTTAAAGTTAAAAAATATGTGCTGATGCAAATTAAGATATGTATTAAAATCAAATAAACAACTAATAAAATGTAAAATAAAACAAATGTATCCCTATAACCTTCTCTGCATTCTGCAATCGCAAATGTTGACAACAGATTATGTTTACCGATTTGCTATACATAGGAAACACACGTTGTTATTGCTAGTACTGTTAGCAAACTTTTACCAAATACGTTCTCAGATAGAGAAATCCTATCAAAAACAAATCTTCTAAAATCTTGCTACAAATTTTGAAAACAAAAGGCACCAAATTTGATGCAAATTTTGTTGTACTCAAAGCTGTCAATAAATTGATGACAAGGAATATGAGAGGATAAGGAACATGAGACCAAATTGTCGACAAAAGCCAAGTAAGTCCTACAAGTAATTTAACAGGAAGTTACAATAAAAGCCGAGCAAACCTTGCTGACCTAACTTCACTGCAAATTGTCGACAAAAATTGATCAAGATCTGTCATTATCATACACGGTCTCGCCGAGATGGACTCGCTTCTCGTAAAAAGAAAACGCCCAGAAGTTCTATAAGAAGACGTATGTAAATCAAGTTGGCAAGTCCCCTGGAGATTCCTAAACTCTTTCGAATGGGGCCTCCGAATGTTTTTTTGATTATTTTATAATTTTGTCGTGTGTATTTTAGAATGTGATATTAATCAATAATTATTGCCGACTTTATTACTCGTAACTCCGTTAAAAATCATCATATCGCAGTTAAAAATATAGATTCTTAAAGCTGAAACGTTGTTCTATCAAGTGATGTAATTGCCAATTTTTTTTAAATAGAATATATGGGTTGCTAAAAAAAGTCGTTTTACCAACTTGTAAAGGGACTTTTTCCCTAACCCAATATTTCTCTTCGCACAACAAATCGGACATAAAAAGGATTAATTTTATTCAACATATCGAGTTTTGCTTAATCACTTCATTAATTATATAATAGCATCAGAAATGAAACAAAAATGATAACTAAAATATATGGCAATAGAAACTCCTACTGCGATGTTTACGATTGGTGCATATTATTACGATTTTGTGAAACTAGAAAATTCCTGAAACTCACTTGCTTCTTTCTATTTGAAGTACTAATGGCTGCATTGAGTAGAAAAAGCAGCTTTGCAAATGTTGTAAAATTTTGTAACATGATTGATCTTGCTCTTAGTTCCTCACTGGATTTAAATATATAAATTAATCATATTCAAGTGTCTTACAGTTGCAAAGCTGCTTTTTCTGCTGTTCGCAGCCAATGAATGTATTAATGTATTATGCGTTGCATGCTTTCATTGCGATAACTAATTTACTTCTCTCTTCGAAATTTAATTGTCCCACGCAATTTAATTCCCTCTTTTGTAAAATATGATATTAATATTCGGGATGTCAAACATGTATATTTAATGACAACTTCGTATAAAATCCGATAATGAAATTCTGTTTCCTTGTCTCGTCACTCTAATAAAACGTGGACATTTAACACGGACAATTAATTGCAGATTCGGCGTGGTGTGTGCCTTTGTGACGAACGAGTACATGCAGGAGGGAACCAAAGAGCTTCCGTGTAAAGCCAAGACAAGTCTAAAAGACGTCAAACTCTACTTGACTACCACGAAGCAAGAGATTGACAATTTGCTCAAGACCAATCCCGAGGAACTTGAAGTTACGCTCAACAATATCCTGCAGGCCAGCGGCAAAATCGTTACCGAACAACTGGCGGAATATTCTCACGCCGTCTCCCTGACAAATCTAAACGACATCGTTGCTGGCTTAGAGTCGATCAGAGAGGATCTGAGGTTGATGAATAAGATAACGCAGGAATTAAGGACAAATGCCAGTCAATTGGACATTGGTACGCAGCTCGTATTTCTAAATTCTCGAAGTTCATAGGAATAAAAAAAATCAATTAATGTTATATTTTTTCTTCCTTGCAAAAAAAAGAGAAAGAGAATTTGTACATAGTAAACTGCGAAAAATTAAATTACTCTTTCCACGTGTCCGAAGCAAATTTATTTAAATTTAGAATATCTAGAATATATTTATTTCATCTAATTATTTTTTCGATCTCTATATTGATCTTTTATAGATATTTATCTATTGCTTTTATAGAAAAAGCACGAAACAAATTTCTGGAGAAAAATTAACTCAATCACAAAGTTTGCTTAAATTTCATACATTAAATACGAAAATTATACTGTAATAGATTAATTTTTTATACAGGGTGTTTCCTGTAACTTGTTCATTTTTAAAATATCTCCGTTGTTTTTGATGATACAAGAAAATACTACAAGGGATCTTGTTCGATTCGAAGAGGCACATATTATGATGAACAAAAAAATTTTCTCAAGGTCTTTTTTTTAGACTTCAATGTCACTTTTACTTTTTTAAATGGAATTGTATGATTTTTTTATTATATGATTCCTCTAATTATTCTGCTTATAAAAGTATAATATTAAGGTAGTGATACCAAAAAACCAATAGTTTACGAGATATTTTAAAAACTACTTTATTATGAACATTGATTATTAAGAGGGAGTGTGGTCAGAGGATAATTTTAGACTTCACCTCAAAGTACGCTTTAGATACACCCTTAATGACTCCAAAGTCAATTATATCCGGAATTTTTCTTCTATCGGTTGGCCAGTAAATTGGTGAGCATTGTGATATAATATCAAAGTTAATCTCTTATCAATAACTTCATAGAGTGCTCGTCCTTTTGGATTTGCCTAGATCCCCAGTACTGGTGTATGGCGTTATAGTCGCCTGCATGAATCGCTCACCTAGAGTTTTGAAGAAAGTCTCAAATTGTTCATTAGTAACTGCATATTTATGGAGGCAATATACGTACAGTCGAAATAGTGATACTGCCAGCCCAGTCTTCCACTATTGTGGTTGCTTGTAGGAAGTCTTTTTTATTTTTCCATTTCGTGATGCCTAATATTATTTTTAATGCTAATGGCATTGTGGGCTGTTCTGTCGGGACGCATAGTATTATATACAGTGTAAGAGGGTATTTTAAAATAATGCTTTTTGGTAAAGTATATCTCTGATATTAACATTATATCTACTTTGTGTGAGAGTATGAATGATTTTACTTCATTCATATAGTGCGCCAAGCCATTAGAATTCCAAGCTCTCTTGAGCAATTGAGCCATTATGACATCTTTGAGACGAGTATTGTTAATATATTAAACATGAAATCCATTTTTTCTAAGAATCTCTTTATCATATTCTTTAATTTAAGAATATCGTTTGACTGCATATTGCTAGTTCTGCACTTGGACTTTGAGTAGATGTGTTCTCACTGTGTCTTTCGACAAGCGACACGAATGACACGGTGTGACACAATGGATCATTACATCTTTGTTGTTTGCCAATGTTAAACAAAGATGACATAATCACTGTGTCGCACTGTGTCGCTTATTGGAAGGCACATCTTAATACCTGGTCGTAACGAGGCTGAGGCAGCTTGAGCATAAGAGCAAGTTAGTCGAATTTGTTCAGCTTGCATTGAGTTGGCTTCTTTAACAGGAAAAATGTTTCCTTCTTTCTCAAGGATGGATAAGTGTTTTTTTGCGATTCTTTGTATATTCTGCATCTCCTGTAGTTTGCAGGATGGTTGCCCTCGCATAAAATACATTTAACGTCGTCTGACCTTCTTTTGACATTTAGCAGTTGCATGATTACCTACGTATTTGACACATCTCGCTCTGTGGTAACAGAAATTCTTAGTGTGTCCGTAGCGTTGGTATGTAGTGCATTGTGGTATTTTCCTTTTCAGATAGGGTTGCTCAAACTTTATTTTGCATTGCAACAGATAGTTTATATCATATATTTCCTTGTTATTGAGTGCTAATTCTATGTTGGATTTTAATTCTATGTTGAACGTGGGGGTTTCTTTGTACTTTTTTGCTGCATATTCCATATATTCGCGACAGTGTGTCCTTTACCATTAATTTTCTGCTTTATGTCATCTATATTAGTAGAAGGATGTATGTTTTTAGTATAACTTTAAAATTCTTTTCATGTTTCAGTTTATAAGTGTGAAATTCTATATTTTTTGCTTGCAATTCTTTAACTATTTATTGAATAGCTCTCCGGAGATTTAGGTTGAATTTTTACTTGTGAACCATGTATTATCTTAATTTCGTATTTGTGTTTGACAACAGTCTCAAGTAACGACATGAGAGGGACGATATTTGCGACTCCGGCCACAAATATGGATGGAGGTTTTAATGTTTTGGGTTCTGATAATGATGGTGATTCGTCTTGTACATTCTGATCTAAATTTCCATATTTATTGTACAAGGGAATGGGGGAACTGAGCCAATTTACTTCTGTTTATGCGCTTTCGGCCGAGTCTCTTCGGGACTGCTACGAGGTCTCTTACTCGTAGCAGCCCTTTCCTATTTTCCCCAATTTTTGTTTGAGTTTTTATTTAAGTTTTACCCGTCTTTGTCAGGTTTCTGATGAGATAGGATATCTCTTGTGAAGTTGGATTTATCTCTGTTCTGGACTTACGTTATGGTCTGCTGGAGTAAGATTTTACTATTACCCCGCTTTCTGTCCTTTGCACCTAAATTATGTGTTTCATTACTGTCTTCTGCCGATGATCCTCTGAGGGCACATTGTTTTCCTTTAATGAATTTTTAACAAACAATAGTTCCCCCCCCCCCCCAATCCATGGGGCCAGCCTCCACAGAGGGCAGATGTTCCAGGCTAGAGCCTGGACTGCCACCTGGGATTTTCCGTTATTGTTTTATTCATTGTCTCAACAAGATACTCTGTACTTATAGGATGTTAGTTGTGGTCCACCCCGAGTATTTTATTTCCCCGGCGAGCCGGCGAGCATTCCCCAATCCGTCACCTAAGGAGGCGCCCGATGAAAGACTAACAACTCCACACGGGACATGATCTTGAGAAAAAGTTTTTGCTCATCATAATATGTGGTGTCATCATATATGCCCCTTCGAATCAAATAAGATCCCTTGTAATATTTTCTCGTATCATCAAAAACAATGGAGATATTTTAATATTGATCAAGTTACAAGAAACACCCTGTATAAAAATTTTAATGAATATGTATACCTAAATACAGTAGGAAAGCAAGGAGGATTCTAGACCATTATACGTTAGTGCGTGTATGTATGTATATGCGGTGTGCGTGCGTGCGTGTAAGAAAAGGTTTAAGGAGGGGGTAGTGCATCACAAACACTGAGTCCGAGAGGCAAGGAAAAGGAAGTACATCATTAGGTTCCGTGGTAGAGGGGGAAGGGGATTTGGTTCTTTCTCTCTCCCACCCGTTGCGTTCTCTTTCCAACTTGTTCTCTCTCTCCCATCCATTGTAGGATGCAGTTCTCCCTCTCACCCATTAGGGCCCTATACTTACCATCTTATTTGCGCTCGCTCTCTTCTTCCCGTTGTATTCTTTCCCACATTTTCTTTTCTTCTCTCACGCTTTTATAATATGATTTTATAAATATGATACTTATTTTACGATTTTTTAATAATATGACTTAGCAATGATTTTAAAATTTAGCAACTAATTATAATATTTTTAAATAATATACTATTGTACAAATAGCCTAGCGCGTTTTCTTATCGACTAATTCAATACGAAAGTACGAAGTTAATGGTGAAGAGACTAGGAAAAAGATAATTTTAAAAAGAATATATTTTAAATATACATTTATGTATCATGTAATGCAGCATGTACAATATAATCTAAACCATAGACTATTAATTCACATTCTATAATAGAATTTTTATTATAAATTTTGCGCAACATGTTTGCAGCATCGCATTTATTAGTAATACAATTTTAGCGTAAAAGCGTCATAAAGTATTTAAATTTCTCATTAACACCATGTGTATTTGACATAGTTGAAGCAAGGTTGGGAAAGTTACATTTTAAAAGTAACGCGTTACTGTTACCGTTATTTGCGATAAAAAGTAACTCGTTACCGTTACTTAAAAGTAACGATAACAAATCGTTACTTTTCGTTACTTTTTTTTTTGTAATTATGCAGAAGATGAGCCTACTCACCGATTTTGATGAAATTAAGGT